GTGAATATATATATATATATATATATATATTATTTTAAATTAATGTTTAAATTTGAAAATTTTAAATTTTCAACCTCAAGTAAATTTGTCTTTTGTATATATTTTAAAATTTTAAGCTAAATTATATTTAAATTATTAATTAATTATTACATAAAAATAAGTTAAACTTATAAATATTTAAATTAATTTTATATAATCTAATAAAATCATGTTCAATAAATAAATTATTTAATGAAATTAATTTAATGATTATAATTAAGATTTATAATATAAGAATTATAATTAATATAAAAAGTAAATTTATTAATTTAATTATCATAACTAATAATTTGTTTTAATTTTTTAAAAGTAATCATATTAATTATCATAGTTTATTATAAATTCAAAATCTCACAACTTTATCAAAATCTCATAATTTTATCAATTGTAACTTATAAGTCAGATAAATATCAGATCAGTTCAATAATAAGTCGGATCATTTACAGGTTGAGTCAATTACATATCATATTTATAACAGGTCGTGTAATATCAGTTATTTACCTGATTAATCTCGGGTTCGAGTTTATATCATGTCGGATGTAGGTCGGGTTCAATCATCACATTATCAGGTCGTTCTCAGGTCGAGTGCAGATCATGTACAGGTCGTAAATTTCCAAATCCAACTTGGATTCAGATGAACGCCAGTTCAAACTTAAATCAATTTCGTATCATCACCACCTCAAATTAAAAACAATTTTAATTTAAATCGATTTCAATCAATTTTACAGATCAAATCAATTTTTTACATCCCTCCGTTGAGTGGCTAGATGTTTTGGCATTGGTGTAAGAACTACGGCGGAATCACGTGACACAAACGTTGGTGATCCCAAAGCAACGGCACGTGCATAGCCATGTGGCTATAACAACAAAAAAAATATAGTACTAAATAATAGTAGTGCTGATAGCATAAAATAATATCTTTGATAAACAAAAATATAGCATAAAATAATATACTCCCATGTTATGGTATGACGAAGTAATAAATAACGTACGTGATTAATAGAGTTGTAAACATAGTTAAAGGCCTTTCCACTAAGAATCAAAGAAGATTAGAGCTTGTTTAAAGAACCTCTCCACTGGCATTAAAGACTCCAACGGAGGTAACATAAGATTTGATACGAAATAAATATGATATTATTTGTATATTTTTTAATCCACATGAAATTATTTTATTGGTGTCTACAAAATTAGATTTTTAGATCCACCCCAGAATTGAGGGGTGTGTGGGTTGCTGACATGGGTCTTGAGTAAGAAATGGGTTCGGGTCCAATTTGATTTAGGCTCAGGTTTTCTCAATTTTTTTTGGGACAAAACCGGTGTCTATAGATCCGTCAGAAATTTGGACAATGACCTCACGATGCCAGGCAGGTATTACATCGTCTCTAAAATTATTTTAGGATTTATGGTATTTCTTACATTAATTTGAAATTCATCACGTTGACGTGATGAATTTACCATGTACTTACAGCATTTGCCGCACATTCCGAAATAAAATTCGGGTTAATTTAATGGATTATTTTTTTTACGTGCTTGACTTACTGGGTGAATTTCACCCCTCACAAGCTCTATTCCTAGCTCTCTTATTAGCCAGCACGAATGTTGTATCACACAAAAGAATCAGAAAGCATGTGTAGGAATTAATTGTTGATTTAGCGACCCTTTATGCATTTATTTTTCAATCGGAGGGTCTGCTTGGACTTTATTTCCAACAATAGTTGATGTATAAACGAGTTTACATAATGATTAAGTACAACCGACAACCCTTGCTTAGCTATAACTTAAATTTCGTGAATCCGAGGCCAAATCTTCAAAGAAAAGAAATCAAATTAAGGTCGAGTTAGTTAGGAATAAAAAAGGACAAATAGTAGTGGTTTATTAGATGTGAGTGATTAATATAATCTAATTAAACTTGCCTAATTTTAAAAGCATGCGCGGTTGCTTTGCCAACCCTGCTCTAACCCTTTACTTAATTAGCCTCTGGCTATAGGATCATCCTCGTTTATTTTCAAACTGACTCTTCTTACTCAATTTGACCCCTTGAATCCCATCGAAGTCTCCCGCTGTCAACCACTGCAAACCACTATCGTCGGTTATCGTCGATCATTTTTATCAATAACCGTCGGATACTAAACTTTTTAGTACACTCTTTTTTAGTCTCCTAACACGAATTCAATGTTCGTTTCAATAGAAATATCTCGAGTATAGAACTCTTTGAATTCTTTTATAACTAAACCATAATAATAAAGTTACCATTAATATTCCTTTAAAAATAAGGACACTACAAAGTTTAAATCAATATTATAATCAAATCCATAAATATTTTATTTATAATATTATTCTTTTGTTTACTTATTTTTGTTGTCTTATTTTCTACGTAATTTGAGAGTAACAAGTAGAAAGAGAAACAAAGGAGAAAATTTAAAGAAAATTATTAGTATATTTAAAATTATATTTATTATAACTATAATTAAGATATAAGTAAAATATTAACAATTGTTGGATTTGGTCCAGTGATTGGGCGCGCTCCTTAACCCCGACAATCTTAGGTTCAAATCCTCACCGTCTGATTGGAAATTATTTTAAATTTTTTAATTAAAATTATAATTAAATTAATAAATTTTAAATATTGACTATTAAATTTATTATTATTATTTAATTAAAATTAGATTGATTGAGTGCGTAAATATGAAGTACCAAATATGAAAATATATAAATTTACTTAACTAACACATCAATATTTCTGATAAAAAGTTTACTATCAATGGTTTGATTGATACCATTTTAATAATTAAGTTATTTGATCAAAAAAAATTAATAGTTTGATGATCAAAATAGAATTAATTCTTTAATCTTGTGATTATACATGTAATTTAACCATTATATTGTTCAGTATGTCTTGAATTTTGATATAAAAACTGAAATTACAATTGATTTAAATACTTTTACATATGCTTTAAGAAATATTTATTTGGAAGTTGGGACTTCATATTAAAAAGAGTTCGCTTAATTTAGGAGTCTTAAAGAGGCGAATGTAACGAACCCTCAAAAGATCAATGAGCTGATTCAAGTGATGAGTAACTTGATATCGTTTAAGTAATGTTTCGGATTCAAATTTTTGTGTATACAAAAAATCTACACTGAGAGACTCACCCATCAAAGTCAGATGTGATACGTGAATCGATCCGGATTAATCAAGATTAAACCTTAAAACCGGGAGAGTAACAAAAAAAAAACATGAACACAAAAGATTTTTCATGCATATTTTTCCACTAAGAAATCAAGGAATGTGGACGTGCCACAATCAGGGTGCGATATATAAAACAATGAACACGATAATTTGAGTGTCGCACATTTCGGATATCATATGTTGTGTGCTATGGTTAAAATTTGATTTTAATACTTTGAGAGTATTGTGGTTCTGTGGATAAAAAAAATATTATGTAAAATATAGTATTTTATATTGTGAAAAAAATAAACACTATTTTGAGTGATCTAGAAAAATTTTGGGCATGGCATGTTGAATGTCGTGCATAAACTTTAGGCACAATATGTTAAATGTTGTGAACAAAATATTCAACACGACACATTAATTATTATTGTTGATAAAATATTAGACGCAATTCATCAAATGTCGTAAAAATCAAATATATTGCATTAAAAATATAGCGAATAAAATATTAAATGTATCATATTAAAAACATTGGTAAAAAAAACACATTAAAAACTAATAGATAAAATGTTAAACACAAATTTCACGTTAAAAGAAATCGTAAAACGACAGTTGGAAAATGACCTATAAATCATAACTATTTCTTACATGTATAACATGATTTAAAGGTTCAAAATACAATATTATAAAGAAGTTTTGTTTCTTAACTTTTTCTTAGGGGGTGTTTGGTTCAAGGATTATGGGATTCCCATGGGATGGGAATCCAACATTCTCATGTTTAGTTGGCCGGGAATCTCATTCCCGGTAATGTTTTATTACTAATAGTAGATTTTTTTGTGTATATTACCGGGAATGTCATTACCTCCATTCCCTTAGGTATTATAACATTACCGACGTTTTGGACTAAAATGCACTTAAATTTTTATTTTTTTTTCAAAAATATTATTCTTCTGTCATTGAATAATAAAAATTCTACAAAGGTTAAATTACAAATTTATCCTTAAATTATTTTAGATTTACAAAAAAAATATATAATTAAAATTTTATATGAAGTTCAGGGGTTAAAATTTTTTTTACCCTTTCATTAAACTTTTTTTATATTTTTAATTTTGTAAAAAAATTATATAAATATTATGAATTTAATTTTTTAAAGAAAATATATAAATATTTTACAATTTGTAATATTATACAAATATATAATAAGGACAATTTGGTTAAATATACATTTCAATAATCTTTTATTCCTTTAACCAAACACGGTAATCTTACATACCTGCTAAAACAACCAAACACAAAATACAACATTCCTAGTAATCCTATTCCCTGATAATCTTTTATTCTCAGTGATAATCTTACATTCCGTGAACCAAACGCACCGTTAGTGTACAAATGTTTTCCCTCTCTGATCAAACACGAGGCATACTCATATTATCACGAGTTAGAGTTTCGATTAGGTCATCTGTATAATCCTGCATTTAATTAACGACCTACATCGACGATTGAAATTAAAATTTATCTATAAAATTAGAGTAATCTAATACTATAAAACTTGTTTTTGTGATGACGGTGGCCGGAGAGAGGAGGACAAAAAATGGGGAGAAAAGAATAGGTGAATTCCGGCCCACACAGGTCATAACTGTCATTTTAAGGTTTGAATACGAAGGTTAACATCTCTCTGCAACTGAAAACGACTGCAAGCAACTTGTGGTCTACCTCTGAAAGATAATAGTAATTTATTATCTCTATATAAAAGAAGAAAAATGTGTTCATACACTGGCTCTGAAATTGAATCCATGATATATAGTTATGCTTCTCTCCTAGTTATCTCTCTTTCTTTCTTGTTCCTTTTTCTCTCTTCAGCCAAAATCTTGTGCCTTTCTTCGTCGTTGTGATCATCAGAATTCAACGCCGTCAATAATGGTGGATCTTCAACCTGTTTGCTGCATGTGCGGCGACGTCGGTTTCCCTGACAAACTCTTCCGCTGCATCAAATGCCTCCACCGATTTCAACACTCGTATGGATCTTTCTCTTTTTCAGCATCTCCATAATATACGTATGTCTAAACACATATGGATTTATCACATGATGATGATGATGATGGGGAATGATAGCTAGCTACTCTTTGTTCGTCTTATCATCATCATCACAGGTAGATAACACCCATCTCCACCGAGCACCACCCAATAACAACCACCACCACCAAACATAATGGTTTTGTTAGTGTATATGAATGTATTCATCATACTCATAAATGTTTCCCCCCCTCCTTGTATTTCATGGGTTGAAACTCGAACGATTTCTTGATTCTGCAGGTATTGCAGTAACTACTACAGCGATTTGGCGGAACCGGTTGAACTGTGTGATTGGTGCCAGAGCGAAGAAAGAAACCCAAAGCAAGGAAGCTCTTCAAAGAAATCATCGGCCGGTAACGAAGCCGGAGCTATGAACCGATCCGAGTATTCCGGTGACAAATTCAAGCAAGAGAGTGGCGATCACAAAGGAAAGAGCAGTGGAACCCCTTCTCCAAGGCCCACGACACGCAGGTACAAGCTTCTCAAGGATGTCATGTGTTGAAAACACTTGAAAAACAATTCAAATAAAGGGTTTATGTTAGCAAGACCTGTTTATAAGTTGCGTTTTCCTTTCAGTGTCAAGGATGATGAATGAATTTGTTGGCAGTATACGGTTTTCACTTTTTCAGTATGTTTTGCTAATAAAATAATGTAATTTTGATCGAACTGGATCCTTGGCACAGGCTTTTAAGCTTTTCTCTTCTATCCGTTTGTTCCCAGTGCTTAAGGCTAGAGTTTGTAACATTGTGTATGCATGAATGGTGAGAGAGAGGTTTTTCGTGCATGAAAATGTTGGATCAGCTAATTATAATATAGGCTGAATGCTCACGCCAGTCTGATTATTTATCTAGATAATCTAGCTAGGGTTTATTTCAAGGCAATAACCTCCATCCCTGTCTCTTATGGAGAATTGAATGCGCTTAAATGGTCGCCTCTTGGCCAAAGAATTCATGGTACCTAAAGCTGCAAAAGTTCTACAAATTCATTGAAAGACTTCAATGGCTAGACCCTCCATTATTATGGGTACCTAAAGCTAGCTGGGACAGGAAAAGGACAGTGAGAGTTTATTTGAGCAAATTGTAGCTCCTAGGGCCCTTCATTTAAGTCATTTGGTGTTTATATTTCTTACTATTTGTATTGTACTGCAGTGTTGTAGTATCAAATCTCCCTCGAGCACAAAACAAAATTAAGCTGATAAGGGTCCTTGCAGTGTATTATGAGAAACCTATAAACAAACCCATATTTTCTTTTCTTCTTTGTACTTTCTCTTCCATGAGGTTTTGGTCTGACTCTCGTCATGTGAGTTCCTGTTTTGAAGAAGGAAAAGTTACCATTAATGAAACAATAATGACTGGATTATTCTATTGTGGATTTTACTCCTTTTTTTTCTTTCTTTCTTTCAAAACAATCAATCATTAATTGTAACCACATGGTCGCAGCTGCTTTCACTGGCTCTCTCTCCCACCTTCCATTGTCCTACTTACAAGCAAGCCGTTGCAATTCTGGAACTTTGAATCGAAGATAAACATGCAACTGTCAAATCTTGATGGTTATGTGGCTTACCTTAAAAAATGGATGTAATACTCTACATCAGTACGACATATAATCGACCGATAAAAGTGCTACACGAAATCATCAGAGTGATTAACCAAAAATTTTATTTGACATACTCAATGGAAAAACATTTATTTGAAACTGCTTTAAATAATATAAACATCAACATTTATACAAATCAGTTTACCTGCTACACCTCCCAATAATAATAAAACAAAATATACAAACCATCTCTTAAATAAATCATGACTCAAATATACAAAATAGGGAATTTAGCTATACATGCCCTCTAAGAATTCAAGACGTACTCTACTCTGAATCTGGTTTAGGTCACTTTTGGTCAAAAGGCTTCTCTACTGCTTTTCACCTAATCTGCGTAAGGAAACAAATTTCAAACACTGAGTTAATTAACCCAGTGCCACGCTAACAACTAAAACATACAAGGGGTACAATAACATGCTCATACAACTGATAAAAAGGTATAATGAGTCTATCAAATCTCAGTCATTAGTGAGTATCCTTTCCATACTCACTCTCTACTCTATGGTAGACATCATGGTGCGGCTGAGGGATCTCTGTATCTCGGAGCTCACACACCCCTCTAGTCTACCGAGGATGTGATCCCCGGAATATCTGCATCAGATATCGCACCTTGACTATCCCACCCCTTGCGAGTATTGGACCTTGCACCCTAGCTAGTCAGTTTACAGTGTCTTGCGCATTCCCTAAGAATATCCGGATTGATTCTATACTTTAAAACCCTGAACGAAAGAAACTCGGGTGTCTGAATCGTTTCCCAAGCATCAAACAAGTCTAGTCTTATGCCGCCCTAATTATTATCGTTTCTACGTTTGACTAAGTGTTATTATTGTTCCCACTTGTAGTCTTATTTGAGAGTAATTATAGAGTTCTTGGGAACCTCATTTCCTTATTACATACCCCTAAAAATAATTAACTTAAAATGTACGCTGGTATTGATACTGGCCTTTCAGTATCGGTACTGACCTTTTAGTATCAATACTTTACCATATGTATCGATACTTTACTCTAATTTCAGAAGCTTTAAAAGGAAATAGTATCAATACTCATCGTCTAGTATCGATACTTCTAAGCTAAGGTAATGATACTAAATGGGGTATTAATACCAAATTTTGATTCGATGTTTTGAAAATAATCTCAGTATCGATACTGCTATGGGGAGTATCGATACTTTTACCCTGGGTATCGATACTTCCATGAATACCGATACCAAATTTAACTTTGATGTTTTCAAAAATTCCCTAATATCGATACCCCTTGAAGGAGTATCGATACTCCTGTTAAAACTAAACCAATTTTTACTCTTCTTGAAGAACAATATCGGTACTGTTTTTACAGTACCGATACCCTTGCTCGAAAATGACTTACTTAGGCTCGAATTTCACATTCAATCTCACCCACATGGCTACAATGAGGTTCTCAATTGTTATAAATGCCTTATGTGATTAATATGGGATATTAATAAGGCTTTATAACATATTAAAAACAAAAACATAGCATCTACCATGATCATGTCCATCAAGCTTTAATCTGAATCTTTATGCTACCAAGGACTACATATGACCCACTAAAGAGTATGGCAAAGTTGCAAGTGTAGTTACCTTGTATTCTTGGTTAAATGCAAAGCCCAACTCACTCCATAGGAGCTTTCTCTTTTCCCTTGGCCTTTGAGCTTTCACCCACTTCTTTCACTAATCAAGGATAAGAAAAAGGAGTTTCTAAATTAACTATGTAATGGAAATAAGGAGTAGAGCACTTCTTAGAACCGGAATCTAACAAAAACAGCCTAGAATCCTTGGTTCTAATAAACCTCCAAAAAACTCATTTTTAAAACCATGGTGAAAATCTTGCAAAATGGAGCTTGAATTGAAGCTAGAAGGATGTATTCAAAATCTTACCTTGGTTTAACCAAACTAGAATTGGATATGAGCTGTTGTGTTGATGTTGAGATTAGACTTTGAACCTGTTTTTGAGATCTATGACCCACTGATCACTGGTATCTTACAGAGAATGGTGAACCTCTTCTTGCCCACCTGACCCTAGAGAAGATGTTGAAGAATTCACATCTCCCTCAAACATCTTCAATTCATTTTATTCTGGTGGAACTTCTGAAAAAGAGTTGCGCCCGAGAACAGGGTTTAAAATAGCGGGATGAAAACGCAATAGTGTCCGCTATTTCGCGGTAGCGCCATCATCCGAAATCGAAATCCGGGAAAATCACGGTGGATAGCAAATTCACGCCAAAACCTGTCGATCACGTTCGCAATCTAACGGGTAACGGTGAATAGCGCCGATAACGGGACGCTATTACCGTTATCTACCGTTAATAACGGTGGCCGACGATCGAGAGGCTTGGAGCCTCCATAGTGAGCGACGTTCGTGAGATGGAGATGGAGTTGCGTTCATGAGATGGAGAGGGAGAGAAATAGAAGAGATGAAGTACAGACATGGGTATTGTTTTAGGTTTTATTAATTTATTTTTGGATTAATTTCATTTAAGTCTCCCATCTTTAGTCGCATATTTGTATTTTTTTCATTGAATTTGGACTATTGTGAATTTTATTCTGGATCATATGGTCTGATCATGAAAATTTACCTTACGTTTTGCTTAAGTGTTTATTAAGAAGTTTTAGGATTAATCCTTCTTAGGTCCTTAACATTTATGCACCTTTTTATGAAATAGTCACCCCTTCCTCATTTTTTTAATTATTTTGAATATAATGCTCTAGTTTCATTAGTTTTATTTTAATCACTCATTTATATATTTTTTATTTCGAAATTAGCTATGATATTTTTATTTTCTTTTATTTTGGTCACTGTTTTATTTATAATCTACTCAATGTTATTATTTTATTTTGATCTCTATGCTTTACTTTATTATATTTTAGTCATTTAATTCTATATTTTAATATTCTGAATTATTTTATTTTAGGCCTTATATTATGATAATTTAAAATAAATAAATACCCTACTTAGAAAAGCCTAAAAAATCAAATAATTTACATTGTTTACGTTTTTGTTTTGTTTTCTTTGTTAAACTATATTATATATATGTCAATTTCGCTTAGAAAATATTTTAAAAATCATTAAAATGATTCATTATAATTATAATTATTTTTATTATGCTTTAATATAAGTTGTACAAAATAAAAAAAAATTCACGACCGCGACACCCGCAGTGAACGCGATGGCATCCGTTATGTCTGCAACCGCGATAAACGCGACACGACCGAAAACGTGACCACGAACGTTATTTAAAACCCTGCCCGAGAAACATCCAGTTTGGTAACTCTGATGTTGGACAAAAGAATTAGACTGAATATCATTCTCTCGACAGAGACTGTAAAGTTGCTGTTTTCTAGACGGATGCAGGATAAAGCTTTTCAAGTTCTTGTATTACTATATGATAACGGCTATATGGTTGATATGGAAGACTTGGTTTATTTCCTTTGCCAGAGCAAAATGCTTTTAGAGGCGTGCAAGATGATGCAATTTAGTTTGGAAAAGCACCAAACTGTTGATATTGGAATGTGCTGCACAGTCATATAAGGTCTTTGTAATAACAGGAGACTGTCAGAAGCATTTGGTTTGTACTATGAACTGGTGGAGATGCCTTGAAAATTTGAAAATGGCATTAGAAGCAGGAGGAAGGTTAGATGAAGCTGAGTTTGTATCAATGAGAATGCCGAATCAGTTGCAGGTTAACGAAGCTTCAAAATTCAGCACCAGGATGCCAAAATTTCGGCAGCAATGATTCTGTTGGAACTTTTTTATAATTTGGTTCATTTTCCAAAGTGTCAAACAGGTCCAAGTATCTTAACCAAAGGAGTTTTTTAGGTTCATCTGAAGTATTGACTTTGAAATAGGTGGATCCTTCAAGATAGGATTCACTTAGTTCTTCAACACTCTAATATTTGATGTCATGTCTCATAAGGTGGGATGATACCCTAATCCCTTGTTTCAACGAGATGATGAACTGTTTAAGATGCTGTGTTGTTTTTGTAAGAATGACCTATGTTTCACTCACAGGGTCCTGCTGCCTGGGCTCGTTTCTTTTTCCCAATATTTTGCAGAGACAATTAAGAAATTTCATAGATAAATATCCCAGTAACTCCTGTTATACATTTTTTGGTGAACTTGTTATATTCATCATAAATTTCATCCATAAATATAATCTAGGAGAATCAAGTTGCAGGAAGTCAGGCATATCATTTAAGCCAACCACGAAACAGTGGCGTATAGCTGAAGTCTTAAATAAATCCACTTATTATGAGGGTCTATTCTTCTGCAGCATTCCAGACACAAAGAAGGATAGGATTCTGAAAAGTGGCCAAGTCTTCCGACTTCAAGGGCTAAAATTCAAGGCTACTGGTGGTTTATTTATTTTATTGTGCAAGTAAGTATCCGATCCCAAGATACTTCATTTGAGAATACTAAAAAAGAGAAAAATGAGAGGGATGTGGATAAGGAGATTTTTCCAAATTTTCATTTTGTTCTTTTATTCATCCGAAGAGGATGAAGAAGGGTTTCCTTACATTTAAGTTGTAAATCCTATATTAGTTAGGTGGATCTAAAGAAGTAAAAGACTGCTGTCTTGAGAGCTTTCAGACCTGTAACAACTTTTGCCCAAAATATTAGAAAGCCACCTTTTCATGATAGGCTTTCTTGAAACCAAACTCTCTCCAAGAACAGCCCAACCTTTCCTTTATATTCTTTGCTCCTGAAAATACTTACATTATTAAACTTTTTCAAAAGATAGGTATCTTCTTTCCAGCGCTGCTGAAGATGTCAAAGACTGACAATAACGATGCTCCATGGCACCGTCTCGAGCGCGATTCCACTCCAGGGAAGGCAGCAGTGCTTGCCATTGGCAAGGCCTTTCCGGGTCAACTCATTCCTCAAGAATACTTGGTGCAGGGCTACATACGTGATACAAAATGCCAAGATGTCACCATCAAAGAGAAACTGGAACGTTTATGTAAGCAAAACTCTGTTTCACGCCTCAGTAACTACGAGCATTTATTAACCCTACTCGTTTGAAAATGATATAATGTGTTTCATTTTTGTAGGTAAAACGACTACAGTGAAGACTAGGTACACAGTGATGTGCAAGGAGGTTTTAGATGAATACCCGGAATTGGCAACCGAGGGTTCACCAACAATCAAACAAAGGCTTGAAATAGCAAACCCGGCAGTTGTTGAGATGGCATTGCAAGCAAGCCTAGCTTGCATAAAGGAATGGGGGAGGCCTGCTACTGATATCACCCATGTCATATATGTTTCTTCCAGTGAAATACGTTTACCCGGGGGTGATCTTTACCTTGCTAGCGAACTTGGCTTAAGAAATGATGTTAATCGGGTAATGCTTTACTTTCTTGGTTGTTACGGTGGTGCCACTGGCCTTCGAGTAGCTAAAGACATAGCTGAAAACAATCCAGGAAGTCGGATTCTACTAACTACCTCAGAAACTACCATCCTTGGTTTTCGACCTCCAAACAAAGCACGGCCTTATGATCTTGTGGGTGCAGCACTTTTTGGGGATGGAGCAGCAGCAGTGATCATCGGAACCAATCCAGTAACGGGCAAAGAATCTCCTTTCATGGAACTCAGCTATGCAGTCCAACAGTTTCTGCCAGGGACACAACACGTTGTTGATGGGTGCCTTACTGAAGAAGGCATAAACTTCAAACTTGGCAGAGACCTTCCGCAAAAGATCGAAGACAACATCGAGGCATTCTGCAGGAGACTCATGTCAAAGGCTAGTTTGACAGAATTCAATGACTTGTTTTGGGCAGTTCATCCTGGAGGACCGGCAATACTTAACCGATTGGAGAACACTCTGAAACTGAAAGAGGGGAAACTAGAATGTAGCAGGAGAGCATTGAAGGACTATGGAAATGTGAGCAGCAATACCATATTCTATGTCATGGAATACATGAGGGAAGAGTTGAAGAGAGAGGGAAGGGAAGAATGGGGCCTTGCCTTGGCATTTGGTCCTGGAATTACATTTGAAGGCATTCTTCTTCGCAGCCTGTAATACACATGCCATTCATATTGAGAAGTTTGCCTTTGTTTTCTAATTTTTATAATGCCAACAGAAACTTATTAACTCTCTCTCTCTCTCTCTCTATATATATATATATATATCCATGTATTTTTTTTTCATATTTATATATATATATATATATAAGTATATGTTGATTTCTTGTCAAGTTTCAATTTACTTTTCAGCTAGTGTTTATTTCTTCTTTATATATATATATATATATTGGGGGGGGGGGGTAAACTTCAACAGGGTAATCCAGCAAAAGGTTATAAATTGAATCTCCAATTCTCATTCGTCTGTTGCTTTTCTATATATCAGGTTGATATTAATCCAATACATCAGGGTAATACATTGCTTTATATAATATATATATAGTTTTTGTTAAAAAATTAAAAGATGTCAATTATCATTAAGAAGAAGAAAAAGGAAGCGAAGTCAACAAAAGATGGGGAGAGGGACAAGAGGCGGAGATGGAGAAGAGGTTGGGCGGATATAAAGGGAGAAAATGATGGTATGGGATGGGTGAAAGGAGAACATGGGGAGTGTAAAAGAGGGGAAAAAAAGAGAAAAAAAAACACAAATGAAGAAGGGAGACGCCGGCGGTCATTAACCAACCTGAAGGCTGGAACCGTCATCAGCAGGCCTGATATCTTTGGTTTTGGCTTTTATGAAAAAGCAATGATCTGTAAAGATTAATTTATATTTACAGTCATACATTCCAACCATCTGAGTCATAGATTTGATGAAATTATTGATGTCTTCGTCACGTTCACAGGTGCGGTCAATAAAATAAATTCCAAATATATGGTATCTTGCTAATTCACAATTCCAGAATAAGTTTGACGGGTACAATCAACTCAATGATATCAAATACTTTTTGTGGCACAAACAATATTCCCAATAACAATGATGAAAACAAAGTTCTGTTCCAGTCTGTCTGATACCACTAGAGGTTGTATTTACAAGGGCGGTGGCACTGAGTAGGGTATACGAACAAACTATAATGCAAACATCATCAGAACCTGTAGTTCAGTCGAGTAAAGAATACGACGAAGGGTTATTACCATGCACTAGGTACACATTTACAAGCAGTGGCTTCCGCATTACAGGTATACCAGATAATGTACCAGCTGCAAGTTAAATATATTCCAAAAAAAGCGATTCAACTGAGTCAGGTAGCAAGAATGAGGAACATATATAGTACAGACACAAAGATACTTCATAAAAAATTTAGGTTTAAAGTCTCAAGACCCCATAGGTACTGCTGGACTTCCAAAATTTTGAACATTGCAGAATTAAGTGCAGGGGTCACCGATATAATTCCTTGCTTGGATAATACAAAGCAGGTTTCAGGTGGTACAAAGACCGAAAAAGAAAGAAATGAAGGTTTAGCCATACTCATTTGTTGGAATTCCAGAGGCTACAAATTTCAAGAACAATAAATTGGATCTAAAGCTAAGAAAGCCTTCAGTTATTGGATCTAAAGCCAAGCCTTCAGTTATTGATGGTTTACCTCTAATTAAGTGCTGGTGCTGCCAAGATCAAAGTCCATGGTGTAGTCATACTCAATTGTTGGAATTACAGAGGCTACAAATTTCAAGAACAAGAAAAGATACCTGCAATAATTGAATTGAAAATTCATGAGGAAAATGTCACAGCATGTCAAAACTGAGAGAATTGCTATACAACAACAATTGAAGTAGTTGCACTAATCCTTCCAAAAGTACAAGCGTACCACATTTCTAAGAGGGTAAGAGAAAAATATTTTGACTGCATAGATGTTTTCTAAAGAAAGAAGGGTCAATTGAAAGCAATTTAGTATTAAATGAGGGGCCAGAAGTCTTACTTATCAACTTCAGGTTCTACTCCTCGTGACATAAGCACATCAATGATCTTTTTCATCACGGCACCATGTCTGCATGGATGCACAGATGCATGCTTCCCAGGTAGATGAGGATGGTCCTCAATAGTAACCTGAACCCGGGTAATTGAGGATAAAGTAAAAGACATTTTCAAAGTTCATTAAGGAGTGTGCGGATAAAATAATGAGATGAGAACACTGAAATCCATATTCCTGCCCATTAACAATTAATGAGAGAGAATCTAAATTAATAAATATGACATACCGTTTTGTGTGCATGATCCTGACTAACATCCTCCAGAACAAGCTCTGGTTGTAAAAGCATCCTCGACTATTATCAAATTCAGAAGAGGACAATTATTTGCAGCTAAATGAATAAATTTGATACTTGATTAAACAAATATAAATAATTACAAATAGGAATTATCCAAATCCAACACCTACCTCATCATACCCAGTAAGCCATACACGAGGAGTTTGATAGTATTTATCATACCTAAAAATGATAATGTCCGGCAAGTTTGAGTTTTCATAAGAACATGCATATTCTGAAAATAAATCTTAAGCAAGTTTGCAGGCACCAGAATTTCCTTACGTGATGCTGACATCATATGTTCGGGTCCGTAAAATATTGTCATCATCAGGTTCTTGAGCAACAAGATATGTCGGTTGTAAAGTTGCCTACATTGATCAGACACACATTATCTCAGAACACAAACATTAGAACCACTAAGAAGGAAATAAGAAATTAGAATTGATATCCACAAGGACAGGTTTGTTAAGCATAAAATTATATCCCTGCACCTAATCGCAACATAATCTTTCCTTTCCTTTCTGTCTCTCTATTTTCCCCCACCCACCCTCACCCATATTGAACAAGATATGTAATATTAAGATAGTACAGGAAACTGGTTGATAAGCTTAGAACTTCAATACAAGGCTAATCTACATCAATTGGTTACAAAATGGAAAAGGAGAAACAAAATAAAAACCAGTTGCTCAGATAGTTTTTGCGTCTCAGAAATCAAATAAATTTCTAAACACTTACTGCATCAGTCTCAACAAGATTGTCAGCTTCTTCATAATCAGCCATGTCGGGTATATCATCTTCATCTTCCCCACCCCCAAAACATGAAGGTATTGATCTTACAGTTTCATTCTGTCTGATTCCTAGGGTCTCCATCGAAGGCAGGTTTTCCTCCACGTCACTTCTATCTGCTAGGAAGATGAGTTGTGTAAAGCCCAGATTTCCATATTAGAATCCAAACAAGTACAATCTCAGAGGAATATAATACCTTTGGGTTTCCCATGAGTCGCCAACCAACCATCATTGTCTTCATTGTCAAGAAGAACCTCTCCTCCAGCAGCCTCATATTCTTCTTCCACTGATGCAGCCCTCCTTAGGCAAGGGACTAACCGCGAAATGATCAAATAGTATTAGTGTATTACTATTACTAATCATGATTTACAATTCAAAGGGAAAGCAATAGACCAGACAAGAAAAGAAAAAAAAAAATGGTAGTCAATTTACCATTTCTTGTAATCAAGTACTGCTTTTCAGCTGGCAAATAGGCCTTCCTCTTGCCTGGCTCTCCTGATTCCCTAACATTCATAACAATCTACTGAATCAAATTGTTATACCATGACTCAAGAAGCTAAACTACACTTTTACCCCAAAATACTAATCCATTGATATCGATATACGACAAGAAAATAAAGATTGATTCAGATAAATCTAAAACCATCAAAACAAAGTTACAAACTTAAAAATAAAGCACGTATATTGATAGCATGGAGAAGATACCAAGACCAGGTAGGGCATTTGGAGACGAGATTATCACCGGCCAGGATGAACTCGGACACACTCAGAACTCCTTTCTCCTTAAAAGCAGAGACGGTTCGGGGGACTGTAATTCTCTCCACAGTTCCTTTGAATGCTTCATGAATCCTCTGAGAAAGTACCATATTTTTCGATTTTCGTAATTCAATTCAATATACGACCAGAGGAGAGACGATAATCAAAGCCCTAGCGATTCGATCGAAGTCGAAGATCGAAACCCCAAAGATCCGTACGGACGTTGTATCGAGAGAGAATCGAATGGTTATGCCTGGGTTGGAAAAAAGAATACGCTGTGGCGTGTGATTTCTCCTATCCGTGAGACCATTGGCCCACATCCCTAGTTTTCAAACCAATGGTCTGTCAATCGGACGGCTCTGGTTGATTGGGTGTAAGTGTTGGTTACGGCTCTCGATTAAAACCTTGTCAAGCCTTAATTGAAATAAAAAAGAAATCTTATCCCCAAAATAAAGCAAAAATAGAAAAATAGTATTTTTTTGTGTGTGCAAAAATCATCGTTAAAAACTATGGATTATGAATATAATAAATGCTCAAGAGGTCCTTGTACTATAAGATTAAGAGTGAATTAGTCCTATCGCAACGTCCCGAAAAATTGAGAGTTTTATTTTAGGGGTTCGTTTCGACTAAAAATCATAATGATTCAAAGGAGTCGCCATCAATATTTGTTTAGGATGTAATTGGATCACCCAAAAAAAATTATCTTAATAAAATTTAAATTTTAAAATTATTAAAATAACGTCTTGATCTACTTTCGAGAACAATAGGTTACACAGTATTTTGGAACTGAGCTTTCCAACATCAGGGGTTACAACAAAGAAACTATGAACCTCCCCTCGCAAAGCAAGGATTCTCCACAACCCCCAGCTCACATAATTACTAGCCTCAAAGCTCCAAAAATCGGAGCTACCCATAAGTGAACATTAGTATATAACTCATTTGAAATTATTTCACATTACACTTATGGCAATTAACAATATCAAATTTTTATTTTCAATTCCATAAAATTTGTCTACATGGTACCATGATCAACACACATTTAAACACCAAATTCATGGTTAAAACACATATAACATCTTTTAAATTTTCATTTTAGTCGAAGTTCAGTTTTAACTGATTTTCATAATTATGCATGTTTTAAACAAATTACCTACACATATGACATTTACACAATAATATATTTACCCAATCTGAACTTATAATATGCATTGAATTATCGATAATTATGTTACTTTCTCTTTCTCCTTGACTTTAGAAGTTGTTACCACTTATTGAACTTTAAATACACATTTA